GGCCCGTGCAGGGGTGCGGGCCTCTCTCTGCCCGGGCCGGCTCTCGGGCCGCGGCGTGCTGCTGCGGCGCGAAGTCTTCGCTGGGGGGGGGGGGGGGGGTCGCTGAAGCTGAGGAGAGTCTGAGGAGGGACCGGACAGGGTCGGAGGTGGCGGTGCAGTTAGAGCTCTGCTGTGGCCGCCTTCCCGGGGGCGATCGGTCCCAAAGCAGTCACGAGCAGAATCCGAGGGAAAGGGACAACTTCGGCGGGAACGCAAGTGCCAAGAATGAAGCTGTAACAGATCCCGCGAAAATGGGCTAAAAAATGGGCCAAAAATAACAAAAAAAGCGGAGAGGAGGTTAGTGGTTGATGAGTAGAATTTGCAAGAGAGCACGCACAAATACCTCAGGGGCTGTCCTGTGCATCCAGCCTGTTTCTTACAGGTAGCAGTACTGTGTGGTACGTGAAACGTGGCTTTTGGTGGTATCCGATGAAGGACATTGCCGTCCTGTGATGCGTTAGTGTCAGACCTGAGACCTCCTGGGCCCAGGCGAGTGAAAGTTTTGTAGGTAGAAAGCCTTGAAATACTACGCACATGGGAACGCAGCTGTTCAGCAATGTGCAAGCAGCAGTATACGACCACCGAGGGCACTGGGGTTGTTTTGAAATGTCCACCTTAGCTCAGTGCCCAAAGCTTTCCATGCTTTGCTTGTGGCAGTTGCTCACAACCTGAGTAGTTATGAAATGTTGAAATGTTGGCTACCTACATTTATTTCTGAAACCCATTCGTAAATTGAATTTAAATTAGTTAAGATGTTAAATAGTAAAGGAAAAACATGAGCTTTAGAAGTTCAAAGGCACTCGTGTGCTGGTTTGGCATTACTCCAGGACTGGAGTTCTGCCAGGCTTTCATGATAGGAAGAACAAACTCTGCATTTGTGAGTTTGTATTTGTTCTTCCCTTACTCGCTGCAGCATGACATTTAGTTAAGGCTGAGAGTTCACCTTTCTACTTTGACACCTCTGTGAAAAATATGGTGACTTTTCAACAAGCCTTTTAGTCCGAGTGCAAAAAGTTGTTCTAGTCCTGCTAAGCCCCTCAGACACCCGTCATTGAAAACTTTCTGCTTCTCCTTTGTATGTCTCTTCTCTTCTGGGTTTGGACTCATGTTTCTTCTGTAATTCTAATTCTCGATTAAAAACTTCACTGTTTTCTAACAAAATGCAGGCCCAGTATATCTCTTTCTGATTTTAGACATTCATTTCAAGTAAGTTGCCCTTTTTTACAACAAACAAAAATATTGAACAGGCTGCCCCTTCTTGTGCTGCTCTGTGATATTTATAGCTATACTGCTGAGACTAGCTGTGATGTGATTTATCATATAGATATCCAGATTTCTTAGCATTATGGCTGAAGAAAAATCCTAACTTTCTGTCTGTATGTGATTTAATTTTCCTATTTAATTTTTTATGGAACAAGAGAAAAAGCATCTTTTTCCTTTTGCAACCAACAATTGTGATTATGAATAAACTTCAGAAATGCAGAGACATACATACTAGTAGTGGTACCCGAGCCCCTTCACAGTGATACGTGACCAGGCATAAAACTGGAAGCTGCCCTTGGCACTAGTGGTGTCCACTCTTACTGAATATAATAATGGCATCCATTACATCATCTAGTGTTGGCAGTAATAGCTGGCAAAAGCAGGGCATGACACCCTGCAATCTAGTCCTGTTGAATAATTTAGAAGCAATTGCTATGCCTAGCTGTGATGTAGTTACTGAGAATACATTTAGGCTCACAAATACTATGTTGGTATTACTAGGATACATAAAGTCTTTTATTAAATACATGGGTAAGTCACTAGGTAAGAGAGAAGCAAAGTTCAATAAAGCTGGTCTTGCACTGAGACACCCTTTCAGAAAGCTTTAATTAAAAGACTTAAAGATTAATTCTGATTTCCACCTTTTTTTTTTTTCTTTTCAAACTCACTCTTTAGACCTTCTGGGTTTTGTTATTTTAATTTTTTTAAGTCATTGGATTCAAGCCTGTGATCCACATGACAGTGCTCTAGTTACTCAAGAATGCTTCTCACCCTGCCTTTTAGTTCAGCACCACCATCTATCTAAAGGATGTGCCAATGAGGATACTGTTGGCTGTCCTGCCAGAAACAACATTCGTTCCCGCTAACATTGCTTTACGTTGTATGTTCCAGGTGGCCAACCCAGCAAAGGAAACAGTTTTGTTTAACAAAGGTGGAGAGGCTTTGCCCTTGTGTAGTATCAGATACAGAGAAAGAAGGGTGAGTTGAATGTTATCGAAGTATGAAAAAAGGGGGAACAGAGGAGGGAAAGAAAACAGAAGAAGAGGGTGTAGAGAAAAGATGGTTTAACTAGCAAGCATAGTCTGAGAAAGAGCTTGTTTGCCCAATGTGCATCTGAAAACACTTGGAAAGTGGCCCAGGGCCCCAAGCTCGTGTCAACAGCTGGACTATTCCCAGATCTGTATCAATAGCTGATTAAATGAGAAAAGGAACTGTTCTGCAGCCTAAAATGAGGTTATTCCAAACCTATAATGTTTGTAATGAATTTTGTATTCATTTTACTTATTCTTAAATTTCATCATTACACACTGGGATTAAAGAGTGCATCTCAGAATTCTAGTGCTCTCAGTCTTAAGGTGGAAAGTAACCATTACTGTTCTGTAAGAGACTCTTCTAACCTAGTTGCTGAGTTCATCATCAGCTGGAGCAGAGGAAGAGTTTCACTTCAGCCACGTTACTCAGTTGTCTGGGGTACTGGCAACACTTCCTTCTAGTCTTAACAGTTCAGGCTTTTTGGAAACATGGATGGGGTTTGTGCTGATCCCCTTGCTCTGAGTGGAAGGATTGCTCTTAATTGCAGTAGTTGGGGACAATTTACAGGCAGCGTGATAATAATTTACAGGCAGCTTGCCATCTGGCAAGCTTAGTAAGAACAATGACATATTTTTTCTTCAGCAAAAGGTGATACTCCTATAGCATGAGCAATTACACAGAATCTGTATCCTTTGCCTACTCGTGGAGCTGCTAACCTATCCGCATGCTGTGGGAAGTGATGTTGGCTTTGCCTTAACACTGCTGCAAGTCTTGCAGACAGGTGATTTTTTGCTCACCTATCATCCCTTCTCCATTAATACTTATTGTTTCCGATTCACAGGAGAAGTCCAAGTTAACTCAGACAATGCTGTTAGTGTTTCTGAAAGTTGGTTAGAGGTTGGGCCTTTTACAAGGCCTTTTCTTTTCAGGAAAAGAGGGTCTTCCTTCACTGTCATTGGAGTTCCCAGCAGCCATGGGCACTGAAGCTCACCTTGGAGCTCCTCTAGGCAGTTCAGTAGCATTGCCTACATTCAAAGAGGTTGTGCCTTATTCCAGGTTTAGTGGTAGCTTAGTAGCAATAAATTTCATGCAGTACCCCATAAAAAAGGCAGGTGGGAAGCACACTTCCAAAAGACCAGTTGTGGCTGCATGTATAGCAACTGATTAACTTCATTTTTAAAAAATATGAACCTCCATCGTTGCCCTCTTCTGTAGTAACCTTTCTGCATCACAGTTTTTTTGGTAGCAAAATCATCTCATGCTTCATGGCTTCTAACATTTTGTGTGTGTAATTCCTTTTTTTTAATGTTAGAGAATACAAGATGGCAGATTTTTCTTGACAAGGTCGAATGATGTATCATCTCTTTTTGGAGTGATAACAGTAAATTTAAGATCAAGCAACCTATATAAAGAGCTCAGAATGTTCCTAGCATCTAGACAGTATCTTCTTTTCCCTGAACTTCACTTGCATTGTAATTCTCATCTGCTTCATTTTGTTAGACTCCTCTGAAACTCAAGAATTCTCTGGTCTCGGGCAAGACCAGAAATTAACTAACCTGTATAATTTTGCAGCAGTTGCAATTTTTTGCTAGTTTACTACTTTTTCCAGAAAAGTGATGTGCTTATTAAACAGCAGAGGCCTCAGTGTAGAGGCAGTCTGCTAATCCCCACTCTCATCTGAAAGTTGACTTCCCCCTCCCACTGTCACAGAATGCTGTTCATAAAGGGAAAGCCTACCTGTTTACAAGGACATTCCAGTATTTTGAGATAAAGATCTCTTGATTTGATTTGTTCTGTCAGACTGAGAATCAAATTTCTCTTGCACATTCAGAGACTAGAGCACACCACTTACGGGAATTTAAAAGAAGACAAGATATCCACACCACGGTAAACAGAAAGGCTTGCTCCCCAGCAATCCTGTGCTACTAGTTCTGTAAAAATTCTGTAAAAAAAGCATTACTGTAAAGCTTTCAAACATTGGTCATGTAAACAGATCTTTATACATAGCGACTGGATGCCCTTGGGAGGATTTATGTCATCTGCCAGCCCCTGAGAGACTCCACCTGGGAATCAAACAGTGTTGGAACAGCTGGCCAGGGAAGCAGGCTCAGGTCAGGGAATCTGTTTGGTGGGTGTCCCAGGTAGCTGATAGGTGAAGGAATCCCATGGGTCAAGGGAAGGTTGTAGTTGTTCAGTGTCTTGCTTTGGGGCTTTGCTTTGTTGCTCTGGCTTCTGCTTGCAACCAACTTGCTTAATGTTGAGCCCGTCCCCTTCCCACACCATTCCTCTATCCTTGACTCTACATCACTGCATGGATTCCCTTTCCCTTTAAAAGATCTAACTGTCGGCATCTCTGGTGCTTGGCTATGGTTTGTCTGACTGTAGTACCTATTTCCATGCTGTAGTCCTACTTCATAGCTC